TTGCTAGTCTAAACCCTTCTTTTAAATATACTTTCCCATTATTTAATTCAAAATGGTTTACATATGCTTGTTGTTTAGGGTTATTAACAAATTCTCTGGTTAAAATTCTAAATATAGGTGAAAAATACTAATCCTTAAGATATTCATATTTTAAAAAATTTTGGTCAGCTATCTGAATAGAAACCGTCATAATATTATTAAAGTATGTTTGTCTAGACAATGCATCAGCTATGGTATTATTTTTATTGGGTCAGTATTTTACATCAAAGTCCATTGACTGTAACACTTATAACTATCTAGCTTGCCTTCATAACAGTTGGGATTGGGACTTGATGTATTCTAACGAAGCATGGTCTGTGATTACAGTAAACTTACGACCTTCAATATATGATCTCCATAGTTTAATAGCATAAACAATAGCTAATAACTCCTTCTCATGCGTAGGATAATTTAATTTGGCTGGTGAAAGTTTTCTTGACTCAAAAGCAACTGGTTAATCACCTTTACCATAATCTTGACTAAGGACAGCGCCGATAGAATAATCAGAAGCATCTGTAGTTATAAAAAATGATTTAGCAGGGTCAGGGAGAATTAGAACTGGAGTGGAGGTAAGTTGATACTTTAAGGTTTCAAAAGCAATCGTTTCAGGCTGTTCTTATTTAAAAGGCTGGTCCTTATGAAGTAATTGTGTAAGGGTGTTGTAATGGCTGAAAACCCTTTTATGAATTTTCTATAATAACTAGCTAAACCAAGGAAAGAACGAACATCAGAGATATTAGTAGGCATAGGCCAGTTCTGGATAGCATTGATTTTTTTGTTATCGACTGAAAGTCCATCAGCTAATATAACATGGCCAAGATTTTTTACTTCTTCTTTAAAAAATTCACATTTACTAATTTTTGTATACAACTTATGATCTTTAAGGATTTTGAGAACTTTTTTAAGGTGGTGTATATAGTCTCGCTTCGTCTTACTATGTATAAAGATATCATCAAGGTATACTATTACGAATTCATCAAGGTATTCTCTGAAAATATCATTCATTAAGGCTATAAATGTAGCAGGTGCATTTGTAAGGCCAAAGGGTAATACAAGGAATTTATAGTAGCCATAATGAGTATGAAAGGCGGTTTTATGGATATCATCTTTTTTAATCTGAATTTGATGGTATCCAGAATACAAGTCGATTTTTGTGAAATATTTAGCACCAACTAATCTGTTCAGTAACTCGTCAATGTGGGAAAGGAGATACCTATTCTTAATGGTAATTTTATTTAAGGCTTGGTAATCAATACATAACCTCAAGGTTTCCTCCTTCTTATGGACGAAAAGGACTGAGGTGCCAAACAGGGAAGTGCTGAGGCGAATAAAGTTTTTCTGTAATAGTTTAGCTAACTGACACTTTAATTCGTCCAATTCTTCATAGAACATTCAGTAGATGGGGTGAGATGGGGTTCTGAACCTGGTACAAGATCAATGGCATAGTCGATAGTTTGTTTTGGGAGCAAATGGTCAGGTAGGTTTTTAGGAAAAACATCATTAAAATTTTGAAGAATTTTTTGGACTTCTGGTTGTTGGGTGTTGGTGTCTTTATTACTTTCTTGACTAATATGTAGGGTAAAAATTTCTTCACTGTCAGGCACTTTGGCTAATTGTTGCTGGGATATAAATACTGAGTTACAACTAGGATTCTTAGGTGTTTTTTGGGAGTCTGCTTGGACTTCAATAACTTTGGGAAAACCAAGATATTTTTTCTCCAATTGATGCTGGGGTTGGCATGATATAACCATGGTTTCCTAGGATGATGTTGTAATGTTGAAGCTTCAAGACTTGTGCTGATATCCCAGAAGTGTAATAATGACCTAGTTCTAACTTATTTATGTTAAATGTCTTATCCGTTTGTGTCTTGCTTCTATTTGCTAATTTAACTAATAAGAGAAACGGTATTTAATGTTAGTTTATTCTGGGTGGCAAAATCTTTGTCAATAAAATTGCGGGACGCTCCACTATCAAGAAGAATCCAAGCAGGGTGATCGTTGATTTTGCCGTTAAATTTCAATAACCATTCGCAATTTTTTTCTACCTGTGTTAGTTCTAGGCTATTGTTGGTTATGATATGCAGTGGCTGGTTAGGTTCATCCTCGATATTGGTAAGTTTTTGCTTTCCTTTGCTTCTACAGTTTTTTGTATAATGTCCTGACATTCCACACTTAAAACAATTCTCCTTTTTTTTTCTATAATGTTGACTACTTGAAGGGCTCCCGGTATAGTCTAGTTCTATTGGTACAGGTCCACCATTCCTTTTTTCTGGTTTGTTTGTATATTGTTATAGTTTGTTGGGAGTGGTAGTAGAGGGCCTTCCTGTCCCAAACATCGCAGTATCAAAATGAATTGCTAAGTTCTATGCTTTATCCAAGTTGGCTGGTGCTTAATAAGTGACTTCTATCTGAGTTGCATGTTTAAGGCCTTCAATAAAGTAAATAACTTTATCAATTTCATTCATGTCTTCGATTTGTTCTATGATATTATGAAATTGTGTTCCATAGTCCTGAACAGACCCAGTCTGTCGTAACTTTTTGAGCTGCTGACAAAGGTAATATTGCTAATTTGGGGTTAAAAAGCATGTTTGACTGCTGTTGCAAAGTCATTCTATGTTTCAAATACAGCATTGTCTCCTGCAGCTGTAACTTTATTTAAATACTAATGCAAAGCAGCTCCTTCGAATCCCATGGCCGCATAATGTATTTGAGTATCATCGCCATTGATTCCTTGTATGTAAAAGATACTTTGAACCTGGAGTAGCCAGGCAACAACGTTCTCTTGTGATTCGCCCTTGTAATTTAAGATTCTAATACTAATCTTTGGGGTGTTGTTATTAGTATTAGGGACAAGCTGTGCTATATCCGCATTGGCATTTGTATTCCCTCTTAAGTTGAGGGCATCTGTTAATTCTTGTTGAGTTTGGATCAATGTTGCGATGGCAGCTAATAAGTTGTTCATTGTACTAATTAAAAAAAAAAAGCGGTGTGGGTGTGTTTAGTGTATGTGGTGTATGAAAGTTTTTGTTTGTAAGTGTGTGAATAAAGTCCGCTGCTACCAAATTGTAAGATTCTTAGAAAATTGGATTTAATTCTTAAGGAGCGTAAGCGATTTTATTAACTTTCTTTTATTTAAATTATTATCTTTATTAACCTTACAAGTTATTATTCTTTTTACATAAAGAAAACATTTGTGAAATTATAAGAAATACATGGAGCTAAAAGTACACAATAAGTTTCGCAAATAAATTAGTTGTGAGTTATTAATATAAATATTAATGCATCACGATCTTAATAATCTTAATTCCCGGGAGCATAATGTAACTTATAAGGGGGTATATAATAAATATGATGATATGATCGTTATGCTAGTAAATAATATGATCGTTATACTAATAATAAATCATTATATTAGTGTAAATGACAGGGCCTTGGTTATATAATTTATAAAATAACGATAGTATTGAATTCTAACAGTTTATGCATTAAACCTGGCTTGTCCACATGATGTTTGTTAAACATCTATCATTGTACATACATATATATAAAATTAAGGCATGTGTGACTGTGGCTTGTTACAAAAAGTGAAGAGAGAAATTAGTAAACCCGTTTGGTTGGAGTAGTTTAGTTAGTATTTAGCATTGTGTTGATAGTGTAATATATATTCAATTCTGACCTTCACATTGAGTTGAATATTGAATCCGCTGTTCATGTATATTTGAGATATTTATCATCTTTGTCAAAATCAATAATACAACATATGTGCGTATTTGTTAGATCTAAAATTGTCACTTTAGGTTTAATATCTTATTTTAGTATTGAAGTGTGCCTGAAGCAGTGAAAAAAATTTGTTGTGCACTTGTGTACTTCGCACACAAAATTTTTTTTATGACAAAAAATATTTACAAATATGCGTTTACAAAACATATAAATATGCAGTATGTGCATATGATTTTTTAGTATAGTCAAACAGGATATGCACTTTGTGTATTAAATTTTAAGTCTGAAATTTTTTTCACTGGCTTGAAGTAGTGACACAACATATTCTCCACAAATATTGATGTACAAAGTATATATCAGTCAGTCAAAATATCACATGTAAAATTTTTAATTATGGGTCAAATGATTGACACACCTAAATTTTATATGTAAAATTTAGGAAAATT